CAGAGAAATGCCGCCCTGACCATATCGTCTGTAACGAGTCCCACCCGCCCACCCCTGGAAACATCAGGCCACCTGTTCACACTAGACTGTGGTAAGGGAAGTGTAGAAGTACTGCACAACTGCTACTGACGGTAAAATGAACCATCAGTGAAATCAGGTTCTGGACCGGATGATGGCAGGGTAGCTAATGCAGTGTGAGCTAGGGTACTTGGACTTTCAGGTAACTTTGGAGAAAGTCCCACACCTTAAGCCAAGTAAAGAGTCGTGGCACAAGATGGAGCAAAGAGCGAAGTGGTAAACTTTGCGGACAATACAAAATTACTCTGGATGGAGTGTTAAGTCCAAACCTGGCAGTGAAGAGATCTCACAAAACCGGGTGAATGGGAAACAAAAGGACAGATGGATTCAAGTGTTGATCAGTGCACAGCAATACACCTTGGAAAACACGAGCCTAACTTTACCCGGGTCTGACTGAGCTATTGCTACTTCAGAAAGGTCTTGGAGTCATCGTGGACGCTAGGAACCATCAGGAGAGGAACAGACAATAAAGCTGAAACTATAATGCCAACGTATCAGCCCATGACACGCCCCCAGGCGGCTTTGTACAGTTGTGGTAGCCCCATCTCAACTGAAGGTCCCTTAGAAGTGGGAAAGGCACAGAGAAGAGGGGCTGTTGCATGAGGAGCTATAAAAAGGCCGGGACAGTCCAGCTTAGAGAAGAGAGACTGAAGAGGGGACACGAGGAACGTCTGTCAAATCCTGCATCCTGTGGAGTGACTAGGGCCGTGGTATTTACCCCTTCACAGAGCAGAGGAGCAGGGGTCGCCCAATGGAGGGAACAGGCAGTTTAAAAGAAAGAAGAGGAAATTTCACCTTCATATGAACAAAGGCTGGAAGTGGATGACATATTATAACACCAGCTTTCCTCACGTGCAACAGCCACGCATGGGACGCTTCCAGCCCCTCAGTCAGGCTCGTTAGCACCGGGGCCACAACTGACAGGGATTGTGTCTCCCTTCTTTTTCTGAGGGTCCCCCTGTTTTCTCCACTTGAGATCAACTTATCTGCGGAAGTGGGTTTTGCCCACAAAAGCTCTTGATACTCTCTCTATATTTATTAGTCTCTAAGGTGCCACAGGGCTACCTGTTTTTAAACCAGAGGACGTATTTCTGCACACAGCACGCAGCCAACTTGTGGAACTCCTCACCAGGGGATTATGTGAGGGCTGAAAGTTTAACGGGGTTTAAAGAAGAATGAGATAAGTCCATGAGGACAGATCCATCAATGGCTATTAGCCGAGATGGTCAGGGCTGCCACCCCATGCCCTGGGGTCCTGAAACCTCTGTTTGCCAGGAGCTGGGACAAGACGACAGGGGGGAATGGATCACTTGGTCTTTGCTCTGTTCTGTTCTTTCCCTCTGTAGCTTCAGGCCACAGCCCTTGTCACAGACAGGATCCTGGGCTATATGGACCATTGGTCGGAGCCAGTATGGCCATTCCTAGATTCTTATTATTTAAATCTCCAAATCCCACTGCATTTCCATGAGCTAGGAGCATCCCTCCATTACTGCTGCACTGTATCGTTTCCCTCTGTGGCTTTATGTCCCTGGTGTGGCCATCAGGAGACATGGATTCTGTTCTTGGCTCTGCCACTGACCTGCAGTGTGACCTTGGGGTAGCTTCTTTACCTCCCTGTGTCTCAGTCTCCCTGTCCTTTCTCTGCTGTTTCTCCTAGGACTGGAAGCTGCTGGGTGGATGGCCAGTGTATTACCATGTGTATGTTCAGTGCACCGCTAGACGACATGGCCATGGAGCTGACAGCAGGCTGGGGGAGAAGATCAACATGGAAAGAATTTGACTGGAAGCCTCAGCTCCCTGTGCTTAGCGTCACGGGGCTAGCACGTTTACAGTGCATTCCGGCACTCAGCTCTGTCTCTCGCTCGGTCCTGCAGCTGCTCCTTGGTACCAGAAATAATTGAGAATGGAACAGCGGGAATGTGCGTGTGTGTGTGTGTGTGTGGGGGGGGGGTGAAATTGTAATAATAATAAAAAATATTGAATTTCCGCCCCCCGGCACATAAGACCGGCCACGCTGGGTCAGACCAAAAGTCCATCCAGCCCAAAGCTCAGTTTCAGTTACAGATGAACAGATTTCTTCTGCATTAATTATCTCAAAGGCAAATGGGGTTTTCAAAGGAGTCTCTGCTTCCCCCGCGTAGATTTTGATTGCCCCGGATAGCGGAGGGTAAAACTTTTCAGTTTTTCACGGCATTTAGCTAAAGTTGTCTTGCTCTCTCTTGCCAGATTAACAGACAATGTTGGATTTTCCCAAATGTCACAAAACGTCCATTTTTGCTGCTGCAAAAATAAACCCAAACAAACCATAACTAACCAGCTAACTCCTTGGCACTCCTGGAGAGTTAACCTGTCCCCGTTCGAAGTGCCGTGCACAGTCAGTCTCTGGGCTCTGCCCGGTGTCGTCCTGTGCCAACGTATTGCGCAGCAAACAGACTTACCCTGCAGGGTGGTGTGGAATGTCTCCCTGCGAGCGGTGCCGTTGCTCCTGCGGGGTGGGGGTTATTTTGTGGCTATTTCTCCGTCTGTGTCTCATGCCCCGTTGCTGCACTAGCTCCCGGCTCTTACCTGCCCTTTCACTGGGGTTGCTGGGTCTCCAGCGGACAGGGATGTGCTCCACAGATGGGGGCTCCCTGCTCCCGCCAGGCTGGGAGGTGATGGACTGAGACGCATGAGAGAGTGAAAGTCCCTCCCTGCTTCCCCAGCCACAAACAGCCCGGCCTGTCCCTGCCCTGGGGCTAAATGGCTGGACCCATTCTCCAGGGCTGAGAGCCCAGCTCCGATCTCCCCTCCGGAGCAAACCAGGCTGAGGACCTGCCCTGGCTGAGCAAGGAGTGGGAACAGCCCCCTCCCAGGACCCCAGACGATGGCCCCACCCCAGAAAGGACCCTTGCCTAAAAACAAGGCAGGGCGGAGGCACGAAGGGTGCTCCAAGGAGCTGGCAAAATCAAAGGCATTTGTATTGTAGCATCATGTGACCTGGGACAGACCAGCACCTGGGGACACCAGCTGGCCCAGAAGAGCCTGCCCCACCTAATTGCCCCGGCGCAGCAGACGGGTTTCTCTCCTGCTCTGCGTCAGCCGCTCTTGGCATGTGGCCACCGAAGGGCCCTGAGGTCAGGCTGCCCTGGCTGCTTGGACTAATGACAAGAGGATAACTTCTACAGGCTGCCCTGGCTGCTTGGATTAATGACAAGAGGATAACTTCTACAGGCTGCGCTGGGAGTCAGACCCCCGGGAACAGAGCTTTGGAGGAGTTCAACGGTGCTGAGGTTTTCTGAGGGATCGGGGCGCGTTCAGTCTGCAGCAGAGAAGAGGGAGGGGGGATTTGAGAGCAGCCTGCAGCTCCCTGCAGGGGGGTTCGATAGAGGCTGTTCCCAGTGGGGGCAGAACAAGGAGCAATGGGCTCAAGTTCCCTTCCAGTCCTAGGATTCTAGGATTCTAGGATTCTAGGAAGTTGCCCGGAGGGGGAGGGGGGTCCAGGTTGGATATTAGGACAAATGATTTCCCGAGGAGGGTGGGGAAGCTCTGGGCTGGGTTCCCGAGGGAGAGGTGGAATCTCCATCCCTAGGGGTGTTTAAGTCCTGGCTGGCCAAAGCCCTGGCTGGGATGATTGAGTTGGGTTGGTCCTGCTTTGGGCGGGGGGCTGGACTCGATGGCTCCTGAGGTCTCTGCCCGCCCTGGGATTCTGGGATTCTAAGTGCTTCCAAATGGATTCCTTGAGGGTCCCCTCCATGATCTTTCCAGGGACTGAGGGAAGGCTGACGGGTCTGTCGTTCCCTGGATTGTCCTTCTCCCCGTTTTTAAAGATGGGCACTGCATTTGCCTTCCTCCGAACATAGAATCATGACCTCAGGAGGTCATCAAGTCATCCGGGAAGCTTTCTTTCGGAAGAGGAAAAAGCCCAGGTGCCCTGGTGGCCATTCCATCCACAGCAATCACAGCCGACACGCGAGAGCGCGTCCATTCAGTGTGGACGCTCTCTGCCGAAATGGCAGATCGCTTTTCCGATGCGCTTTGGCAGTGTGGACGCTCTCTGCCGAAATGGCAGATCGCTTTTCCGATGCGCTTTGGCAGTGTGGACGCTCTCTGCCGAAATGGCAGATCGCTTTTCCGATGCGCTTTGGCAGTGTGGACGCTCTCTGCCGAAATGGCAGATCGCTTTTCCGATGCGCTTTGGCAGTGTGGACGCTCTCTGCCGAAATGGCAGATCGCTTTTCCGATGCGCTTTGGCAGTGTGGACGCTCTCTGCCGAAATGGCAGATCGCTTTTCCGATGCGCTTTGGCAGTGTGGACGCTCTCTGCCGAAATGGCAGATCGCTTTTCCGATGCGCTTTGGCAGTGTGGACGCTCTCTGCCGAAATGGCAGATCGCTTTTCCGATGCGCTTTGGCAGTGTGGACGCTCTCTTTCAGAAGAAGTTTTTTTGGAAGATCTCTTCTGAAAGAAGCCTGCAGTCTAGATGTAGCCTTTGTGAGCAACGCCCAACCGATCCATTTCCTTAGGGCACCTTTCAGCTCCGTGTCACAGAAGAACTGCTCCACCGTGTTGCCCCCGCAGAAGGAGATTGTGAAGGTGCCTCCCATGTGCAGGGCAGAGTAGAGCACAAAGCTGAGCCAGGCGCCGGCGGCCATGTAGACACAGGCTATCTGGTTCTTCACGCTCTCGTAGTGCAGGGGCTGGCAAATGGCCACGTACTGGTCATAGGCCATGACGGTGAGTAGGGTGAAGTTGGCCATGGCCAAGAAGACTAGAAAGACTTGGGCATGGCAGCCAGCGTAGGAAATGGAGTGGGTGTCCCGGAGGGAGTTGGCCATGGCTTTGGGGAGGGTGACAGAGATGGCGCCGAGGTTGAGGAGGGACAGGTTGCCAGGAAGAAGTACATGGGGGTGTGGAGCCGGCGGTCGAGGGCTACGGATGAGATGACGAGCAGGTTCCCCACCAGGGCTGCCAGGTAAATCCCTAGAAATGCCACAAAGTGCAGAATCACGCAGTGACCGGGGGTTATTAGTGCTGCTGGCTCTGCTGTTCCATCGAGCGTGTTCCTGCACCAGGGCGAACTCGGTCAGCTCCTTTCACGTCACTGGAGCTTCCTCACTTTACCCAGCTGTGGCTTGGCCCAGGTGTGGCTTGACAAAACGCATCCCCAACCAGAGAACTCTCCCCAAGCTGGTCCCTGTTTTGCGACCATCGCCACACTCCCAGCTTGGCCGGCATCCTGACCTACTCAAGTGCCAGCCTGGCCCAGTTCCCACTTGGCCGGGAAGTGGGACCTTGCTTCACCCGGCATTGTAAGTGACCTGTCAGGTCTCTGCTCTGAACTCCGAGCTCTGTGCCTGGGCTGCCTGCTGCCGGATGATAAGATAACAAGGTGATAGGGAACAGCCAGTTCTGGGCACCACATTGCAGGAAAGATGTAGAAAAATTGGAGAGGGGCCAGAGAAGAGCAACAAAAATGCTGAAAGGTCTAGAGAGCATGAGCCATGAGGACAGTTTGAAATAACTGGGCTTGTTTAGTTTGGAAAAGAGTAGACAGAGGGGACATGAGAGCTGTTTTCAGGTATCTAAAAGGGTGTCACAAGGAGGAGGGAGACAAATTGTTCTCCTTGACCTCTGAGGACAGGACAAGAAGCAATGGGCTTAAATTTCAGCAAAGGAGGTTTTGGTCGGACATTAGGGAAAACTTCCTGCCTGTCAGGGTGGTGAAGCATGGGAATAAATTGCCTAGGGGGGTTGTGGAATCTCCATCACTGGAGATATTTAAGAGCAAGTTAGACAGACACCTGTCAGGGATGAGCTAGATCACGGCTACTCAACACGGGGCTTGTGGGCCGCATGCAGCCCGCTGCCTGTTTGTTTGCAGCCCACGGTGTGGTTCAGGTTTATGTGGGGCTCAATACATGGCCCGTGGTGTGGTTCAGTTTTATGCGGTGCTCAACACACAGCCCGCGGGGCAGTTTGGGTTTACATGGGGCTGGCGGGAACAGACGGGTTCAGGGTGTCGACGTTTCTAGCCCCCAGGGAGAAGGTGTACAGATAGTTCAGAATGGCTTCATTTGCACATTCGGTATGCATACATTACCCCGCTAGTTCGCACTAGCGGGGGAGTGTAGACATACCCTAGCAGATTAAGTGCCTAACTCCCACTGAATGACCCGGGACTCAGCCACTCGGCTCCCTTAGGCGCTTCCATAAATCCCCGCTACTGCCTCCGGTAACCCGCCTGCAGGCAGCACAGGCTGGGCTGGAGTCGGGATCCTAGGGCCTGGGCTGAGAGGGGTCAGTCTCAGGAACCAGAACTGCCCTTTGGCTTCCTCACCTCGTCCCTTAAATTACATTGCCATTGGATAAGAGGGAAGGTCCTTTCTTGGATTGAGAACTGGTTAAAAGACAGGAAACAAAGGGTAGGAATAAATGGTAAATTTTCAGATTGGAGAGGGGTAGCTAGTGGTGTCCCCCAAGGGTCAGTCCTGGGACCAATCCTTTTCAACTTATTCATAAATGATCTGGAGAAAGGGGTAAGCAGTGAGGTAGTAAAGTTTGCAGATGATACCAGACTGTTTAGGATAGTCAAGACAGAAGCAGACTGTGAGGGACTCCAAGAAGATCTCACCAAACTCAGTGATTGGGCAGCAAAATGGCAAATGAAATTTCATGTGGATAAGTGTAAAGTAATGCACATCGGGAAAAATAACCCCAACTATACGTACAGTATGATGGGGGCTAATTTGGCTACAACAAATCAGGAAAGAGATCTTGGAGTTATCGTGAACAGTTCTCTGAAAACTTCCACGCAGTGTGCAGCGGGGGTCAAAAAGGCAAATAGGATGCTAGGAATTATTAGGAAAGGGATAGAAACTAAGACCCAGAATATCTTACTGCCCCTGTATAAAACTATGGTACGCCCACATCTTGAATACTGTGTACAGATGTGGTCTCCTCACCTCAAAAAAGAGATTTTGGCCTTGGAAAGGGTTCAGAAAAGGGCAACTAAAATGATTAGGGGTTTGGAACGGGTCCCATATGAGGAGAGGTTAAAGCAACTGGGACTTTTCAGTTTAGAAAAGAGGAGAGTGAGGGGGGATATGATAGAGGTCTATAAAATCATGAGTGGTGTGGAGAGAGCGGATAAAGAAAAGTTATTTATTAGTTCCCATAATAGAAGGACTAGAGGACACCAAATGAAATTAATGGGTAGCAGGTTTAAAACTAGTAAAAGAAAGTTCTTCTTCACACAGCGTGTTGTCAACCTGTGGAACTCCTTGCCAGAGGAGGCAGTGAAGGCTAGGACTATAATAGAGTTTAAAGAGAAGCTGGATAAATTCATGGAGGTTAGGTCCATAAAAGGCTATTAGCCAGGGGATAGAATTGGTGTCCTTGGCCTCTGTTTGTCAGAGGCTGGAGAGGGATGGCAGGAGACAAATCGCTTGATCATTGTCTTCGGTCCCCCCTCTCTGGGGCACCTGGTGTTGGCCACTGTCGGCAGCCAGGATACTGGGCTAGATGGACCTTTGGTCTGACCCAGTACGGCCGTTCTTATGTTCTCATGTTATGTTATGTTCTTGGCCTCGGCCATGGGGCTGTGCAGGCCCCAGGGAGCGAGTCCCGCTGGAAACAGACGCGGCTAAATCCCTCCCTGCAGCACCTCCCCTCCAGCGCTCGTGCAGCTCAAGCCGGCTCCGCATGGCTCTGTGCAGGTGTGAGCCCAGCCCCAGCAGGTCAGTCTCAGCGCGTGGGGGAAGGGCACTCGGCTGCCTGTGCCGACAGCTCCCACACTCTGGGGTCTGCAGCCAGCCACTGACCGAAGAGCCCTGCTGCCAGGCAGACTCAGAACCCTAGAGCTGGCAGGGGCCTCGAGTCCCATCCCCTGCCCACCCGGCAGGGACCATCACCTTCTAGGCCAGTGCTTCTCAACCAGCGGGACGAGTCCCCTCGGGATACTCGAGAGACGTCTGGAGGTAGGTCAACACAACTGGAATTTGGAGAAAACGCAATGTTTAAGTTTTACAGAGTTTTATTATTTTTGTACTTTTTACACCCAAAAATTTCATCGCCCGCCCACTATGATTAAGTTGTTTAAACAAATGTGTTGCAATGGGAGAAAAAATAATGTGTGTGACTGAAAACTGTAGCTACTGGGGGTACTTATAATTTTTTGGGGGAAAAAGGGGTACGTTATAAAAAAAGGTTGAGAAACACTGATCTAGAACATCCCTGATAGATGTCTGTCCAACCTACTCAAATAAATCCACGGATGGAGATTCCACAACCTCCCTGGGCAACTTATCCCAGTGTTTAACCACCTGACAGGCAGGAAGTTTTTCCTAATGTCCAGCCAAAACCTCCCTTGCTGCAATTTAAGCCCATTGCTTCTTGTTCTATCCTCAGAGGTTAAGGAGAACAATTTTTCTCCTTCCTCATAACAACCTTTGAGATACCTGAAAACTGCTATCATGTCCCCTCTCAGTCTTTTCTTTTACAGACTAAACAAGCCCAATCACTTCAATCTTTCTTCAATAGTCATGTTGTGTAGAACTTGAGTTATTTGTGTTGATCTTCTCTGGACTTTTTCCAATTTCCTGATACCTCTTCTGAAATTACTGCATGGGAAAAAATCACCAAAACCAGTAGAGTAAGTTTGGCATTTTAATTAATTATGTTGGGGAATCAAAATACACGGGAAAATTCAATCTGACTTACAGTTTGAACTCATTCAGCCTTTTGCTTTCAGTTTTATTAAATAACTTCTGCTGATTGGTTTTTTTAAACCCTTCAGGGAAAAAATGGATTTTTCACTGACCACCCCAAATCCAATCCCCAGGGTTTGGCCAAGGAAACCCTTCTGCTGAAAAGGTTTTTTAAATCATAGAACCAAAATTGTTTTGTGGGGGAGTTGCAATTTCAGGTTCTTTTTAAAAATGCCCAAGAAATGGCTTCCTCCCTCTCCGGCTGGTGCAACACTGGAATACGTTGCCTGGGGGGGTTGTGGAATCCCCATCCCTGGAGATATGGAAGAGCAGGTTGGACAGACACCGGTCAGGGATGGTCTAGATGGTGCTGGGTCCTGCTGGGCAGGGGACCAGACTGGACAGCCTCGCGAGGTCCCTGCCAGTTCTACTGTTCTGTGATTCATTGATTCCATGACTGGCCCAGAGTCACCCAGCAGGTCACTGGCAGGGCCAAGATCCCAACAGCCGCTCTCGGGCCCAGCAGAGATTCACCCACAAACACATGGGGAAGGGAGGGACGCTGCTAGCCGTGGTCACAGGCAGGCAGAGGACCCCTGGGATCTGGTGCCATCTGTCCATCTGGCAGCAGGCTGTCTGGGCACAGAGCTCAGAGCAGAGAAGTGACCGATTAGCTGCCGGGTGACTCAGCATCCTACTGCCCGGCCACGTGGGTGGGTCTTTGAGTTGGTCAGTTTCCCGGCCCAGCTGGGAGCAAGGCGATGGTCACAACACAGGGACCTGCCTGGGGAGAGCTGTCGGGTTGGGTTGTGCTTCGCTCCATCCGTCCTCATGCCTGTTACCACGCCGCAGCTGGGGAAAGTGAGGATGCTGCGTTGAGTTAACAGCAAGTGGTCCCGGTGCGAGAACACGACGGATGGAACATCGGAGCCAGCAGTGCTAACAGTCCCGTCACTCGAGTGCTGGCACATTGGCCATTCCTGCCCGGGAGCCAGGCCCATTCCCTCCTTCGCGCCGACCCGGACCGTTGTCCTTCTCTCTCCACAGCTGCCACGCTGAGGAAGGACATGCCCAACCGCACCGCTGTGGCCGAGTTCCTGCTCCTGGGGTTCTCTGACGGCCGGGAGCTGCAGATTCTGCACTTCGTGGTGTTACTAGGGATTTACCTGGCAGCCTTGGTGGGGAACCTGCTTGTCCTCACAGCCATAGCCCTCGACCGCCGGCTCCACACCCCCATGTACTACTTCCTGGGGAACCTGTCCCTCCTCGACCTCGGCGCCATCTCCGTCACCATCCCCAAAGCCATGGCCAACTCCCTCCGGGACACCCACTCCATTTCCTACGCTGGCTGCGTCGCCCAAGTCTTTCTCGTCATCTTCTTCGCTTCAGCAGATTTCGCCCTACTCACCGTCATGGCGTACGACCGGTACGTGGCCATCTGCCAGCCCCTGCACTACGAGAGCGTGATGAGCCAGAGAGCATGTGTCCGCCTGGCCGCCGGCGCCTGGCTCAGTGGCGTTCTCTACTCTGCCCTGCACACGGGAGGCGCACTCGCCATCTCCTTCTGCGGGGGCAACACGGTGGAGCAGTTCTTCTGTGAAATCCCCCAGCTGCTCAAGCTGGCCTGCGCCGGCTCCGACCTCGTCGAAGTTGGGGTGATTATCTTTAGTGTGTGTTTAATCCTAGTCTCCTTTGCCTGCATGATCGTGTCCTACGTGCAGATCTTCAGAGCGGTGCTGAGAATCCCCTCGGAGCAGGGCCGGCGCAAAGCCTTCTCCCCCTGCCTCCCCCACCTCGCCGTGGTCTCCTTGTTCATTAGCAGCGGGGCCTTTGCCTACCTGAAACCCGCCTCCCGCTCCCCGGCGGGTCTGGATCTGGTGGTGGCCATTCTCTACACCGTGCTGCCACCGCTGATGAACCCAGTCATCTACAGCATGAGGAACACGGAGCTCAAAGCTGCCCTGAGGAAATGGATCGGTTGGGCGTTACTCACTAAGAGTAAAATGCCCCCCATGTGTCTCCTTTGGTAGCAGTTTTATTCTGTGTTTCCACCTAAATCTAACCAGCTGATGACATTGTGTCCTTGACAAGAAAATACCGTGCAACCCAGTTATGCAGAATTGGGTACTGACACGAGTAAAAATCCCGACCGATATGACACACACACAAAAAAGAGAGTTACTCTATGTCTACACCAATCTAAGGAGGATCAGTCTCAATGTATCATATATGCTACCCTGCGGCATCTGTCAGAGCATCTTACCCTAGCAAAGCTGCTTGTAAGGTCTCTAGTTCTTCTTATTTTGGGGGATAAAAACTCGGATTGAGGCTTCCATACATTAGTGCTTTGTGGTTGGTGTGCGTCAGATGTTGAGTTTGTGTTTGTGTCGTGGGTTGGGTAGAGGGCTGGTTTGTTCTAGGAGATCTTGGAGGTGCAAAGGCTTGGCGAGATGGCTAAGTGTTAGGAAGAGTTTTCCATGTTTGTCATCTCTCGGGGGCCCTCATTTGTCATTTCTTTGAGGGGGTTCTCGGGGCGAGTGGAAGGTTTGCTCCTCCCTAGGGGTGTGTCTAGACTGCAGGCTTCTTTCGGAAGAAGCTTTTCCAGAAGAGATCGTCCAAAAACACTTCTTCCAAAAGAGAGCGTCCACACTGCCAAAGTGCATCAAAAAGGCAATCTGCTTTTTCGAAAGAAGCGTCCACACTGAATGGAGGCTCTCGCATGTCAGCTGTGATTGCCGTGGGCGGAATGGCCACCAGGGCACCTGCTTTTTCCTCTTCTCTTTTCTTCCGAAAGAACTCCCTCTTCCCCATCCACACAGAGCTCTTGCGGAAAAAGGCTTCTTCCTTCTAGAAAGGTTTGCCAATGGCAGAAAACCCCTCTGTTCTTTTGATTTTCCCCCAAAAGAACGCGATTGCAGTGTGGACGTAATTGAAGTTTTTTCAGAAAAACAGCCATGTTTCCGAAACAAACTCTGCAGTGTAGACATACTCCATGAGAAAAGGGAGCAAAGAGCTTTCGGCATGGCTTTGTTCCTGGGGCCAGAGGGATGAGCTGGGCTGGTGGCAGGGGTTCGTCTCCCCCCCACTCACTGGCTGCGGGAGGAGAAGCTGGGTGACACGACCCCGGTTTGATTTGCTCTTCTGGTCACGTTGCTCATGGCAGAAGAGGAGTGACATGTGCGGGGGGGCAGAGTGAGCTGGGACCGTGTCTCTCCCCTTCCCCCCAATTTCTGAGGAGTGGGGGAGGGGGTGCACCCCACTAATCCCTTGCGCCTCATCGCTCGGAGGAGGGGAGAGGGTGGAGCAGGGCCGGGGTGAGGCAGGGCCTGGTGCAGAGGGGGGCTGTCCCAGACCTTCCCTGAGCTGGGTGGAGGAGCAGTCACATGGCCTGTGGCCTCCTGAGTTCCTCCTCACCAGTCGCCCCTGTATCACCCAAGCCCCTCCCCCCAATTCCCCTCCGCTGCCAGCAGGTGTTCACGTGTCTGAGTTGTCCTCCAAAGCTTTGACGAGAGACGAGGACTGGGGCCTGGCAGGAGGCAGGGGCCGCTGACGGAACGTGGAAGAACAGGGCAATACGCATCCCTAAGACGCACTAGTCGCATGCAAACACACCCGGGTACAGAGGGAGACCAGGACACCCTGGCTCCGGGGATGGTACGAAGCCATCCCCACGGGTCACAGGGACACGCTGACCTCCTCCGCACTAGGCCAGAGTAGCTGGAGGGAATCGCGACGGTTTGATCGAACCGACCTGTCCGAGCTGATGGGAAGCTCACAGGCCACGTGAGGGGCCACGCGGCGTGTTTGTAGTAGGGAAGAAAGTTCTGTTTTAGGAGGGGTCTTGTTCAGCTGAAGAGGGAATGGAAAGTCCTGTCAGTTACCGAGCTGCACCCATTGTCGGGGCACACCCCTGTAGTGTCCTTGCGCAGACTGCCAGGAGTTATCGCCACGCTTTGTCAACAGTACGCCCGGCCGGTGCCTCTGCCCCGGAGCGACGCTACTGGCGATTCTCTCGAGGTCTGTGGGGCGGACGGCCTGCAGAGAGCTGGGGCAGCACACAGGGAGAGCCATCACACAAAGCTAACGACAATTACATCCTCCCTACACTTGCTTCCACAACTCACAAATTGTAGCCACCCCAGCCACTCCGGCCTAAACTTCTCGTGTCTTCTATGGGGGGCTATGGCTATTTATTGCGAGTCATTGAAGGGGACTTTATGACCACCAATCTCAATGAGGTCTTTGATGCAGTCAGACATTTATACCTGAAAACGTAATAAGAAAGAAAGAAAGAAAGAAAGAAAGAAAGAAAGAAAGGAGGGTAGGGGGAAGAAGGGCAGGGGAAATGGGGGGAAGGAGAGAAGGGGGAAGGAAGGGGGGGAAGGGCCGGTTAACTCATCCCAATAAAAGTTGAAGCTGAGGTACAGGCATTTTCCACAACACAAACACCCGGCCTGAAGGCATCACTCCATCACCAGCCCCCTGCCCAAAGCAGGACCAACCCCAACTAAACCACCAGGTGTCCAAGCTCCCAACCCTGAAATGGGGAGCCTTGAGTTCCTGGAATGGGCTCCCAGGTCTGTGGCTCTTGCAGGCCATAATTGGGGTTGGGGGGGGTGGGGGTGATGACAGTTGTGTTAGACACAACTCTGCTGCATGGAGCAGAGAGCAACCAACACGGAGAAGGGCTGGCACTGAGAAAGGATGCAGGACCATGGTACCTTCTATCAGCGCTATGAGGCATGAGCCAGTGGGGCTCCCTGTCAATAAATAACTAAAAAGACAGTGGAACAGGACCCCAGTCTGCCACCTCCCAGGGGCATGCTCTAACCACTAGGCAAGAGAGTCATTCTCTTGCTTGCTCTCTTTCCGGGACAAAGACTCTTCAACTCTTTACCCAAAGCGGAAAGGCTTCCGCGGGACAGAGGGAGGGAGCCCCATCAATAAAGACAATGGATTTCCGGAGGGCAGACTTTAGCAAACTCAAAGAGCTGGTAGGTAAGGGGAAAAACAATTGAAGAGAGTTGGTAGGTTTTCAGAGGGACATTATTCAGGTTACAAGAGTCCACCCTGGCTTACGCAGGAGATCTTGAATGATCTAAAAGTAAAAAAGAGTCCTACAAAAAGCAGAAACTAGGTCAAGTTGCGAAGGATGAACAGAAATAAATAACACAAATCTGCAGGGGCAAAATTAGAAAGGCCAAAACAAAAAAAGATCCCAAACTAGCTAGAGACATAAAGGGTAACAAGAAAATATTCTACAAATACATCAGAAGCAAGAAGATGACCAAGGACAGGGTGAGCCTGTTACTTAATGAAGAGGGAAAAATAATAACAGAAAATAAGGAAACGGCAGAGGTTCTTAATGAACTCTTTGGTTCGGTTTTCACAAGAAGGCATGTAGTGCTAGGATGCCTACAATAATGAATGCTGGTGAAAACAAGGTAGGTTTAGAAATTAAAATAGGAAAAGAACAAGTTAATCGTTCTTGTTGCTCTTCTCTTGCTCCTGTCCAATTTCTCCACATCTTTCTTGAAATGTGGTGCCCAGAACTGGACACAATACTCCAACTGAGGCTTAATCAGTGCCGAGTAGAGCGGAAGAATGACTTCTCACGTCTTGCTCACAACACTCCTGTTAATGCCGCCCAGAATCATGGTTGCTTTTTTTGCAACAGCGTCACACAGTTGATTCATATTTAGCTTGTGGTCCACTATGACCCCTAGATCCCTTTCTGCAGGACTCCTTCCCAAACAGTCTCTTACCCTTCCGCTTGTGTGAAACAGATTGTTCCTCCCTGAGGGCATGTCCACACTAGGAAATTATTTCAAAATAACTAGATTCAAAATAATAACTCCCGAAATAACAAAATTAAAATAGCGTGGCTCCAATATCAGGAAGCCTTGAAATTAGTCTGAGGCAGGCTCTGATATTGTGGATGCACTAACTCGAATTAGCACCCCGGGGCGGAGTAATTACTTTGAATGACTCTGGGGAGTGGTTATTCCGAAATAGCGGCACTGGAGCATCCACACTCCTGCTATTTCCAAAATTAGTGTTATTCCCCAAGGAAAGCAAGAGGACAGAATTTGAAATAACCAGCCCATTATTTTGAAATAAGGAGCTTTGCTAGTGTGGACGCTCTGTTTATTATTTTGAAATAGCCATGGTCTTCACTAGGGAGTTAAGTGGAGCACTTTGCATTTGTCATTTTGAACTTCATCCTGTTTGCCTCAGACTATTTCTCTAGTTTGTCCAGATCAGTTTGACTGATGACCCCGTCCTCCAAAGCACTCGCAGCCCCTCCCAGCTTGGGATCATCTGCAAACGCTGTAAGGACGAGTAATGATCAGCTAGTTGATGAAAGACAGGACAAGTTCTCAACTTGCAACCTGCAGCCTATGGCCATACAAGGCCCACGAGAGCATTTCCTAAGGCCCATGGCCTGCGTCAATGCAATATACAAAAAGCCAAGACATTAGCATGTTGGCGCCGTGTTTACATGATTTCAGAGCACCCAGGGGTGTAAACAGACAATACCGCATGTACCAAGAACTGACATAAATACCCAGGAAACAAGCTGAACTTGAAATATGGGTCAGTCCAAGTGACTCTAAATCTGATGACAATAAGTAGAATCTGTATGGCCCACACAAGGCTGTGGTGGGGGTTACGTGGCCCCCCGTGTCAGAAGGGGGGACCACAGAATCAAAGGACAACTACTGGAAAAGGGCTGGAAGTGAACCCTTCCCGCTCCCCAGAGACTCATTAGCCCGTTACACAAAACTCAGTGTCATTTGGGAAAAAACAACTCAAATCGCATCGGGCCCTGGTCAGAACAGACCTTTGGAGACACAAAACTGCCCGTAAAGGTGATGGGCTGAGTTGAACTGCACCGAGACTTGATTGCACTCATCAAACGCTCTGAATCGGGCAAGGAATAACAATCCCCAACAGCGTTTTGCCTTGAGAAGGGAATAAACTAATCCCTCCCCCCCAGCTTTCTTCAGAAAACTTACTGATGGGCACGCTCATTTCTGGGAGCCAGACATGAGCAAGACACAGGAGACGTAAACCCATGCCGGGATGGATGCATCCGTCCATCTGCACGCCTCAGATGCTCTGAAATGGGCTCTTTTTTACACGTTGTAGAACAGAATTTCTCGAGCTAGCTGGTACTTCCAAAGCACCGACAGCCTCAGCATCTGAAAACCACCAAGGTTTTAGCTGGGATTTCCAAAGAATGCAAAGGGAAGCAAGCACCAGAACTGAAGCTGGATTGTGCGTCTAACTCCCTTAGGCGCCTCTGAAAATCTCAGTCACACATAGGCTATGTCTAGACTGGCATGATTTTCCGCAAATGCTTTTAACGGAAAAGTTTTTCCGTTAAAAGCATTTGTGGAAAAGAGCGTCTAGATTGGCACGGACACTTTTGTGCAAAAGCACTTTTTGTGGAAAAGCGTCCGTGCCAATCTAGACGAGGTTTTGCGCAAGAAAACCCCGATCGCCATTTTCGCCATCGAGGCTTTTTTGGGCGAAACAATACCGTGTTGTCTACACTGGCCCTCTTATGCAAAAGGACTTTTGCCCAAACGGGAGCAGCACAGTATTTCTGCAAGAACACTGACAATCTTACATGAGATGGTCACTGTTCTTGCGGAAATTCAAGCGTCCAGTGGAGACAGCCAGCAAGTTTTTCTGCAAAAGCAGCTGCTTTTGTGGAAAAACTTGCCAGTCTAGACGCAGCCTCTGTGTTTAGTCAAGGATTAGATGGAGCCTCAGCTATGCGGTGCCAGACTATTTCGGACTGAGAAAAGGACTCAGTGTCAGCACAACTTCACGGCTACTTTATTCTCCCTCCAACTGTCTATATTTGTGGCCAAGCACACCCCTTTCAATGGAGTGTCTCTGTGCCGAGGAAGCCGGGAGAGGAGCTGGAATTGTGTGTGCGGAGGGAGCATGGAAAGGGAAATCGAAGGTCTTGGGAACATTGAAGGCACCAGCGTGTAGAGTCCACACTTTATTTTGCAGCCATTCCCAGAGATTTCCAAGCCCGCTGCACAGTCAGAGCCATCCTGATAAAAGTCCCTTCCCACACTTCCTGACTCCAATTTCACGGGAACTTTGTCAGGCCCGGGGTAGTAAAATCTGGAGTGCCGATGGAGAAGAACGATCCAGTCAAAGAGATCGCTCATGAGACCAGTGGGGACTGTAGCTGAGTCTCATATTCTGATGAGACCTGAGCTAGGTTGTTCAAAGGAGCCGACAGGATCGGCCCAAGGGAGTAGGGTGCCAAACTTCCATAGGCAGATCTGAAAGTGACAGCCCTACGTTGGGCCTAGCTTCTGCAGCACGACTTTCCGGAAGGCCCCCTTCACCTCTTTGTTCCTCAGGCTGTAGATGATGGGGTTGAACATGGGGGTGACGACCGTGTACATGGCGGACAGAGCTTTATGGAAGGCCGGGGACCGCTCTGCCGATGGCACCACGTACATGATAATGATGGTCCCGTAATACAGACTCACCACCAGCAGGTGGGAGGTGCAGGTGGAAAAGGCCTTGTGCCGCCCGGCCGAGGAGGAGATCCGCAGGATGGCCGAGAGGATAAGCACGTAAGACACGACGATGAAGAGGAAGGGGACCAGGGTTACCAGCGAGCAGGCGACCAGAACAACCATTTCCACCAGGGGGCTTTTCCTGCAGGACAGTTTGAGCAACTCCTCCATGTCACAGAAGAAATTGTTAATTTCATTGGGGCCGCAGAAGCTCAGCTGGTGCACCATCGCCACTACGAAAGCAGTGGCTGCAAAACCGGACACGCAGGAGGCCAACACCAGCTGCAGGCAGACCCTGAGGTTCATGACAACATTGTAATTGAGCGGGTTGCAGATGGCTAAGTAACGGTCATACGCCATGGCTGCCAGGAGGAAGCACTCGATGCAAGCCAAAGCACTGAGGAAGAACAGCTGCGTGATGCAGTCCTGGAAGGAGATGGTCCTGTCCTCTCCCACGAGCCCGGCCAGCAATCTAGGGGCACTGACGGAGGTGTAGCACGTCTCCAGGAAGGACAGGTTCCCCAGGAAAACGTACATGGGGGTGTGGAGGTGCTGATCAGCCACAACCAGCACTACGATGAGCAGGTTCCCAGCCAGGGTTATGGTGTAGATCACTAGAAACACCACGAAAAGCAGCATCTGGACTTCATTCAGGTTCCCGAATCCCAGGAGGAGGAAGGTGGTGATGGACGTCTGATTTGCCCATGGCGTGGGTGTCATGTGTTCTCTGGGAGGAAGGGAGGGAAGGAAGGACGAAAGATCAACTCGACCAGCCACATCTGCTGTGCCCAAATCTGCAACTCTTCCCTTGCTATTCCATCCTTCTAGCTTGTCAGAAGCGTTTAAGGGCCTACGGATTTAATTATTCTTCCAGAGGCATTTTACAAAATGACCTCTTGACCTAAAGCCTATTGTTTCCCATGGCTGTTAGGTGTCTTAGTGAGACTTTTCATCTAGGCAGCTAAGTACCTTTAGAAATCTGACCACAACCTGCTTTAAATTCATCAGTAAACCCGGCCAGGCATGTGTCTGCAACTTTAGGTACCTAAATATCTTTGAACATCTCTCCTTTACTGTGACTTGTTGTACCTGTCTTAACAACTAGCATTTTACCTCAACAGCCATTGAAATGACCCCAGAACATCACAGAAGGGTATTTTGGGTTAACTCTGTATAAGGATCATTCACCTATAATTCATTTCAGAAGATACAGTGCGTAAGATTCTCGTTCCATACCCACTTTGCACGGCTCTGCTGGCACAGTGAGGCCTTAGGGACTGTTCTGCAACATTGCTCATAGAAATCTATAAATTGTTCAGCCACACATGTGAAGAGAGAGATTTTGGTCACCCACAGGAGTTGCAGTGCCTTCTGGGATGTGTAGTTTTCTTCTCATGCTGCCCATTCTCAATCAGCTAGGATCCCCTATGTGGACTACATCTCCCACAATGCAGCAGGAACAGAGATTCTATTTCTCACAGCTTCCCTTCACTAATATGAGACTAGGAGGCATGATGGGAGGTGTAGTCAGCCACTGGGGACACAGAGAGATAAGAAACAAACTACAACTCCCAGGAAGCACAGATTTTGAAATCCATTTTTTGAAACACTGTGACACAACAGTTACGTTTTTTCATTGAAATAAGGGGGGTTATTTTGAAATATTTTAAAAAGCAATTAGTCAAAACCCCGATATCGTGTTGGAAATCACTATTGAACGAAAATGTTCAGCCTGGGATTATCATGCAAATGAGATTGTGGTCTAGAGAACTAGGTGTTTTCTCTCCCGTCCGGTGGGTCAGAGCATGACCTACCAGCGTAACTGCAAGCTCTGAGCTCTTAGGGTATGTCTACACTAGCCTCCTATTTCGAAATAGGGAGGCTAATGTAGGCATTCGAAGTTGCAAATCAAGCCTGGGATTTAAATATCCCGCGCTTGATTTGCATCTTCCTGGCTGGTCACCATTTTTTAAATTTCCAAGTCTGGATTAACTGCCCGCGTCTACACACGGCAGGGACCCGGTATTTTGAATTAAAGCCCTAAATCGAACTACCTGTTATTCCTCCTGCAAGGAAGCGCAGGATATTTAAAACCCGGGCTTGATTTGCAATTTCAAATGCCTACGTTAGCCTCCCTACTTTGAAATAGGGGGCTAGTGTAGACATACCTTTAGAGAAAGGCCAGCAGAGAAGTCTAAAGACATGTACCCAACGTGGTCAGCCCTGGGCTCAGTTTAGCTCAGAGGCTGCCAGCTCCCTAGCACCATTTCTTCCTTCAGAGAGCTGGCTCCAAGCCCTCAACAGAACGTACCCTCTGGTCTGGCAACACACGTGTCCCTGCTAACTTGCACGGTCATGTTGAGGCGGAGATAATAGTGAAAGCTCAGGGCTTAGCAGATGAGAGAACATAAATACAGAGACCAAACATCTGCTCTGTCTCAAACGACCGGCCACACTACCCAGGGAAATGGGGTTACAAGTTGTGACGGCAGTCGGGGTCCCCGTCTCCTGCACCCATTCCCCCGCTTTTGAGATAGGGGGTGGCTGGGCCCTACAGCCCCAGCCCCCTCCCTAGCCCTTTCTCCCCTGCTTCCCAGACAGTAACTGCCTCCCTTCCAGCCCTGCCCCCAAGCTAGGGGATGGACCCTGCCTTCCTCCCGTTGTCTCTCTCCCTGGGAGGCGACTGGTCGGACAGGTTGGGAGCCCCTTGCCTAGTGACTCATCCGCTGTCCTGCTGGGCCGTGCTACAAACAGCCGCCAGTGGAGGTCGCCTACAGCCCACTGCCCAAGCCTAGCAACCAGCAAGGTACCACCACCACACCACACTGGGTCACAGCGCAGACAGCCCCCCCACTACGCCACACAAGTACTGCAAGTTAGAGCAGATAGCATGTAGAGTAAGGTACGGTGCACCCCAAGGTGAGGGACTCGCTGGGTCGCTCTGTCTTTTACTCCTAACAAGGAGAAAGTTAAGAATCCTAGAATCCTGGAAACTAGAACTGGCAGGGAGCTCGAGAAATGATCAAGCCCAGTCCCCTGCTCTCACGGCAGGACACAGCACCATCTAGCTCATCCCTGACAGGGGTCTGCCAACCTGCATCTAGAGGAGTGAGGGACATTGCAGGGTCCCGACCGTCTCCTCCAGAAGCACCTTCAGACACCGCGTCCCTCTCTCCTAAGCTCCAGCAAGCTCCGACTTTCAACCTTCCCCAAAGCCCCTTGGTTCAGTTTCCGACCAGTTGGTCCTTCCCCATCTGTGGTTTCCAGCCCCAGGGCTGAACCCAGCCAGGTGGAGGGACACTTCACAGGCCCTGCCACCAGCACTGTCCAGCCAGCCCCCAAAAAGGTGATTTGGTGCCTTATTGTCTCCTCCCCAGCCTGCGGGTGCACTGGAATGAACCCCCTGGCAGCCAGCTAGCAAGCTGCACCACCCCGAAAACCCACATGGAAGAGAGAATAGTCATGAGATACACATGCCACTCACATGTCCCCGCCTCTCCCTTCCAGACGCTCCTCCAAATGCCGAGGAGCTGGGGCTTGGCGTCGCTGTAGAGATACGGCCACCTAGTTATATGCCTTCTCCTCATTCCCGGACAATTACCTCATCGGGATGGGCTCCTTCCAGACCCTTGGGTAGATTGCTTTGACTCCCTCAGTGAACAGCCATAATAAGTCCCTCTGCGACCCCGCTTGAAATGCCTCCCGCATAAACAAAACTAGCCTGGGACTTAAAAGTTTGGTAAAGCTACAATAACCAAAAGGCTCTGGATAAAACTTTTCCCCACGGCCTTTTTGAAGGAAGGAAGGAAGGAAGGAAGGAAGGAAGACCTGGATTTATGCCAGAATTTCAACAGGAGCCTAAATTAATCATTTGACCCTAAAAATGGTAAAAAGTTTGGTAAAACTTTAATGATAAAAAGACTCCAGAAAAATAAATTAATTAATTTATATCCATCCATCCATCCATCCATCCATCCATCCATCCATCCATCCAGAAGGCCTGTTACCTCCCACAATGAAGGACAGGCTAACTGGTGACAGGGCTTGGGTGAAGAAGCTGCCCTCCAACACCTCCTGCTTTTGAGGGGTCCTTAAGGAAGTTGAGCCCGACCAAGAGCTTTGCCTCGGGCAGGCCAGTCTTTCGGTCAAACAGGCCTCTCCTTGGCTTAATCAGTATATCCAGCGGGCTTTGCTCCTACGGCTCCGCCAAACCGCACTTTGCTTGACGGGGGCTGCTCTCGGACTCTGTGTTCATCCCGCCCACAGCCCCCTGAGCGACCATGTGCTGCTGCCAAGTTTAGTCGGACTGGGCTGATCAACAGGCGCAGCTGCTGGTGTGGGGATGGGAGAGTCTCAGGGGCCACCCCAAGAAGGCGAATGCTCAAGGCCTGGCACGTGGCGATGGTGCACACAGAGAGCTGAGACAAATAGTGTCTGTTTTCTCAACCTTCTGACCGGTTCGCCTTTTGCCGCTCTTCTCCCTCCCCCGTTTTTAAACTCTCTCTTTCTCCTTCTCTCTTGCATTGCTGTATCTCTTTTCCTTGCCTCAATCGTTTCTATTTCCTTTTTTCCTCTTCCCCCCTCCAAACCCTTTCCCTTTCAATGTGAGGTTGCTGAATGAGTCTGGGTGAAGGAGAATGCACCAGAAATTGTTTGTCAGTCACCCCGCTGTGAAACGGGCGGGAATGAAGCACATTAGAGAACTTGGAGTACACGCTGGAAGATTTGGCATAGATGCTCCCCATGCAGCTGGCCAGGGTAGGACACATTTACACCCCAGCTTGCTGTGGTTAAATGCACCCCTAGACGTGCCCTGGGATACGTAAACTGAGATTCTCAAAGCTGTCTTCGGGCGGAGGGAGTAAAAGCAGCGAGGAGTCCTGTGGCACCTTATAGACTAACTGAAGTGTAGGAGCATAAGCTTTCGTGGGCAAAGACCCACTTCGTCAGATGCATGACACATTTCGTGTCTTTGCCCACGAAAGCTTATGCTCCTACACTTCAGTTAGTCTCTAAGGTGCCACAGGACTCCTCGTCGCTTTTGCAGATTCAGACTAACACAGCTACCCCTCTGATACTTGAATATTTTTCTTGTGCCGTTTGTTAGAGAAGAAACAGATGACCCAGGAGCGGAGGGGTAAATGGAATCTCTTTATTGCCTACGCACATTTATCTCGGACATTAACACAGTGTCAGAGTGTCCCGGAATTGGGAATAGTCAGAACCTTTTATCTATTTTAGTATGTTAAGTCACACGTCTATCCCTACTGTTCCTAAAACCTTAGGGTACGTCTACACTACAGCACTAATTTGAACTAACTTAGTTCGAATTAGTTAATTCGAACTAAGCTCATTCGAATTAGCACATCTAGACTTAAAAACTAGTTTGAATTAGCGTTTTGCTAATTCGAACTAGCATGTCCACATTGAGTGGACCTTGAACCGGGGTTAAGGCTGGCCGGAAGCAGTGCCGGCAGGGCATCAGGTTAGGATTTAGAGCGTGGAGCTGCTGTCTCAGGCTAGCCGAGGGCTGTGCTTAAAGGGACCCGACCCCCACCCCGGACAGACAGTTCTCAGGGGTGCCCCGCTTGCAAAGCAGTCCTGGCTTGGAGTGCCCTGAGTTCCCACACTCGGCACATCACAGCACTCGGCCATCAGCCCGGCTGCACTTGCCGCAAGCTGCCATCCGGAGGGGGGGGTCAATCAAGGGGCTTCAGAAG